AAAAAAAAAAAAGAGATGGGGTCTTGCTCTTGTTCAGGCTGGTCTCAAACTCCTGAGCTCAAGCAATCCACCTGCCTTGGCCTCCAGAGTGGTAGGATTATAGGCATCCACCATCATGCCTGGCAAATTTTTCTTTTTTTTTAAAAATAGAAGAGAGGATTTCTTGGTCTTGCTCAGGCTTGAACTCCTAGCATCACACTATCCCCTGCCTCAGCCTCCACATAGTCATTAAAGAGAAAAGATAGAAGTCTATGAAACACTGAAACTATGAGAGAACAATAGGACATAGAACAGTCCTATTCCAATAGGACATAGAATAATCTATGTTCTCAATTTCAAAGATAGTACTGATTAAAAAAAATTTTTTTCATTATATCATATTATCATAATTTTTGGCCTGAAAAATATACCATAATTCTAACAATATGAAAATAACTTAACATGGTGTCTGATATAATAGGTATTGAATTTAAGGTAGTATACAGTCGATATAAATATAATTATACTATAAATAATATATCATATAATCTCTGTAAAGATAAATCAAATAGTATATAATCAAATGTAAGTAAAATATTCCCATACAAATACTTGAAAACGAATCATCATAGCAACTGTATTTGTAATAGCTCCAAACTTGGAAACAACTCCAGTGTCCACCATTATATGGTTGGAAAGAACCATATTATAAAGAACCTATAGTGGCATATTCAAACATTGGCATACTAATCAGCACTACAAAAAAGGAATGAACTATTGATACATGCAACATAAATAATTTGAGTCTACAGTATCAGAATACAGATCTGTTTAACATAGGGATGATGTGAGAGGGGTAAGAGGGAAACTTTTGGGTAATGGATATGATATTTATATTGTGCTGATTGTGATGATGTTTTCAAAGGTACACACAAATATTAAAACTTAAACTGTTTACTTTAAATATGTATAGTGTACTTTATGTCAGTTTTATTTTAATAAAGCTATTTCTAAAATGCCATAGGTACTAAAGAGGAAAAAAAATGTGTTATACAGATAATACTTCATAGGGTAATGGGGGAGGAAGGATTAGTTACACTAAGGTAACTGTCAAAGAAAAACTCTTGAAAAAATAGTTTGTATATATGATATGGAAGAAGTTGATTTAAGACATTTTTAAGTCTAATCAAAGTAACCAACTGAAATACGCAGAACTGGGATATAAAAAGAAAGCTATAATTTAATAATCTATTATCTTGTCTGAAAAGGGAGCATGTTAACCAGAGGGTTTATGGCTGTGTGAAGTATGCCTGCAACACTGCTAGTCCTTTGGGCCAGCATATAATCTTCCCAAACACCCAGTCTGCCTTCCCTCCTATTCCCCACCAAAGCTATTTCAAACCCTCAACTTTCTCCTGGAGCCCACCATGTCTTACATTCTCAATACCAACATCATGCCGAGTACACAGTAGTGTTTAGTCACTATCTAGTGAATAAAAGAAAGAGCTGCTGCTGTCTGCCCCCCACCCAGATTAAGTTAGAAGGCCCTTTTTTGTTCTCCCATTGCAGCTGATACTTTCTCTATTAGGCTTGGACCCCTGTGTATGGTAATCACCTGGTCTATTTTGTGTTGCTATAACATACTACCTCAGACTGAGTCATTATAAGGAAGAAGTTTATTTAGCTCAAGGTTCTGTAGGCTTGGAAGTCTAAGGGCATGGGCTTTCCTTCTATGTCCCAACATGGTAGAGAAGGTGAAAGAGGAAGCAGATGTGAAGAGGGAAAACGATCCAGTCCCATGACCTAAAACACTTCCCACCAGACCCTACCTCCCAATGCCACCACATTGGGGTTCAAATTTCAACATGAGTTTTGGTGGGGAGGAACAAACCATCTCTGAACCCTAGCACCTTAGTACTTGTCTTACCCATAAAGACTGTAAATTCTATGAGGGCAGGCACTGCATCTGTCTTGTCACCTACTTTACAGTTAATGTGATCAAGACTAAGCATGGAAAGTAGCTAGCACTACAAGTACCATTGATGCCTATTAAATGCTCTTATTATAAATACTTATTTGCTTTCACTCTTTGCTCTTTCAAACTGATCAATTCTTCTAAACCTGCCAACTCTGCTACCTCCCCTTTCTTTTTCAGGAGCTGACTTTGTTTTTCTTACTTCAGAGAAAACGGAAATCATTAGATAAGAACTTCCTCCACTTCCTACTTCCCCACCTGTACCTAATGGAGAAGGTAGTCAGTAAGCTCCATGAGGTCAAAGCAACTGGGACACAGTGGTGCACAATCAATATCTGTAGACTGAATTAAGAGGTGTCTGTTCTTCAATCAAAGGCTAATCATTGCACCTATGCTCTAAGGCCAACTTCCCATCCTGGTCTCAGACACTTCCATCAGTGATCTTGTCTTATTCCTTAAACCCCTGTCCATCCAATAGCTCCTTTCTTAGCATATGTACACTAAAAAAACAAACAAAATCTTTCCTCTTCCTCAAATCCAAATCCCTGTCTTTTAACCATTCTCTTTTTCTTAGCCAAACTTCTTTTTTTTTTTTTTGAGATAGAGTCTCATTTGTCACCCTCAGTAGAGTGCCATGGTATCACAGCTCACAACAACCTCAAACTGTTGGACTTAAGTGATTCTCTTGCCTCAGCCTCCCAAGTAGCTGGGACTACAGGTGCCTGCCACAATGCTTGACTATTTTTTTGTTGTAGTTGTCACTGTTGTTTCGCAGGCCCCATTGTATGTGGTCAATGCCCTAACGACTGAGCTACAGGTGCCGAGCCAGCCAAACTTCTTGAAAGAGTTCTCTCTACTCATTATTTTTATTTCTTCATTTCCTACTAACTTTTCACTCTACTCCAATCTTCATGACTGAATACCAATGACTTCCTACAACCCATGGGCTCATCCCAGTCCTTCTTCTACTCTCAGCAGAGATGACAGTTATTCATATCTGCCTTCCTGAACCACCTTTTCACTTGTCTTTTGTGATGCCCTGGTGTCTCTTCTGTTTGGCCACTTCTCTCCCTCTTTTGCTAGCTCATCCTTTTCCATCTTAAAGTTTTTCAGGGCTTAGTCCTAGACCTTTTCTTTTCATCCTGCATATACTCCATGAGCGATTTTTATCAACTCTTATGACTCAATTATCTGGATCCCAAAGATGTCCAAATCTGTAGTCCTTAGCCCGAATCTTCCTCTTCAGTAATAACCACATAACCATCTTTCTACACCTTTACTTGGATGTTACTTGGCATATGATGAAAAAGCAGAACTCTGCATCTTCCGCCCACCAATCTGCTACACTTTCTTCCTATAGCTCACCTTTCAGTGAACGGGGCCATTATTTACCTAGTTGCCCAAAGATCCTGCCCCAGTTCGTCCTTCTCACTAGTGAATTAAACAAGTCTTAACAAACTGTCCTATAAGTCTTTGGACTATATCACCCCCTACTCTCTCACCATTACCAGTCTATAATTGTCTCTCACCTAGATGGTCTCCCAGCCTCCAATCTTAAACTTTCGGACTCTAGTTTCTACCCTATAATCAGAGAGTTTTTCTAAAATATAAATCTGGTTAGATCACTCCCTTGTTTAAAACCCTCCAATGGCTTGCCATTGCCCCTGCAATAAAGACTAATCTCCTTGGTGTTGCTTAGGAGACTCTACATAGTATTTTTGCTACTTTAGTTTCATAGCTTGCTACTTTCTTCTTTGTTCTCTGTGCTCCAGACATTTTGAAATTGTTCTGTGCTCACTTTGCCCTTGTACATGCTGCTCCTTCATGCCTGGCACTGTTTCATTTGTGTGGCTCACTCCTTGAGGACCCATTTAGCCATCACTTTCTCTAGGAAGTCTCAACCATTGTGAAGTTCATAAAGCACCCCAATTCCTTTCTTTCACATATTGCATTATAAAATAATTGCTTGTTTCATTATTAAGTTATTGTCCCCTTCTATGACTAGACTTTTGTGTCCTCAGATCCCCCACATGATTCTTAGAATAGAATAAATACTCCGTAATATTTTGCAAAATGTAAAAACAAATACTCACCAAGCAATGATTTTTTTTTTTTTTTTTGAGACAGAGTCTGAAGCTGTTGCCCTGGGTAGAGTGCTGTGACGTCATAGCTCACATCAACCTCAAACTCTTGGGCTTCAACTATTCTCTTGCCTTAGTCTCCCAAACAGCTGGGACTACAGGTGCCACCACAACTCCTGGCTATTTTTCTATTGTAGTTGTCATTGTTGCTTTAGCTGGCCTGGGCCAGATTCGAACCCACCAGCCTCGGTGCACATGACTGGCGCCCTAACCACTGAGCTCTGGGTGCCACCACCAAGCAATGATTTGATACTCATTTGTTCCACATGGACTTTCTTACAGGGCAAAAAATGCACTGACTAGTCAACTTGTGGGCATTTTTCACTTGCCCACAGCCTCCCTGCTGTCCAGAGGACATAAAAGGCACTGAATCTGATATGACATTACAACATAGTTCTTGACAAGTTAGCTCTCCCATCTTTTCTTAATTTCCTAAAAAATACTTATTAGCACCTGCTGCAGAAAAAAACTACCTAGTGATCAGTCACAAGAAAGTTCTGCTCTCTCTCCTATTGCTCAGAACTTATTGCATTATAATAGGTGAGCTTTCAATGACTGTTTTACTGAAAGCCTGGGACAATGTATGACACAGAAAGAGATGGTAAGGATTAAGTCTTGAATTTTCAGCTCCATCAATTACTTGTTAGGTGATGTTGATAACCTTAACTGTCACACTGATAACCTTAAGTGTCAGGTAATTTACTTCATTATATGAATTCTAATGTTCACATATATTCTTTAAACTAGAAAGTAGGGGAGCTGAGACAGAATTCAAATATGGCTGTGAAGCCTGTGCTCTTTTTACTAATCACTGAAGCAAGTCACTACATATCTTTAAGACTAAATTTTGTTCTTTTCTTTCTTTCTTTCTTTTTTTTTTTTACCCCTTAGAAGTGGTTTCCCTATGTCATCCAGGCTAGCCTCAAGCAATCCCTTAACTTTAGCTAGTTGAGAAGGACTACAGCCACTGAGTCCTGCAAGACTATTTTCCTTATCTCTGAATGGGAATGTTTATATCACTAGGAGTAAGGAGAAGCTTAAGATTTTTACCACCCTTGGGCGATGCCTGTGGCTCAAAAGGGTAGGGCGCTGGCCTCTGCAGGTGGCATGTTCAAACCCAGCCCTGGCTAAAAAAAAAAAAAAGATTTTTACCCACCTCCATAGCAGAGAAGACAAGCTGACTACTTCACGTAGCTGAAAACTCTCTCCTTTATAGATCATCCTCTAATATTCATGGCTGCCAGAATCTAATCTACATTTTTGTTTTTTTGAGACAGAGTCTCACTGTGTTGCCTAGGCTAGAGTGCCATGGCGTAAGCCTAGCTCACTGCAGCCTCAAACTCCTAGGCTCAAGCAATCCTCCTGCCTCAGCCTCCCAAGAAGCTGGGACTACAGGCACCCAGTACAATGCCTAGCTAATTTTTCTGGTTTTAGTAGAGAGGGGGTTTTGCTCTTGCTCAGGCTGGTCTTCAACTCCTAAGCTCAAGTGATCCTCCTGCATAGGCCTCCCAGAGTGCTAAGATTACAGGCATGAGCCACCACGCTCAGCCTAGTGTACTCTTTATCAAAGTTTAATGTTATAACAACTCCTAGTTGACTACAGATTACAACTTCTTTTCTTTTCCAGGTCAGTCCAGAAGGTTAGAAAATAGTCAGAGAACAGTGTCTGTTTCCAAAATAAAGTATATGGAAAAGAGATTAGGTTCATCTTAATGGTAAGGACAAAATACAGTAGAACCCCCATTAGTGACCACCTCTCTACACTGACCACCTCAAGTTGACCTAATCTTCATAGACCAGGCCATGTACCAGATGTATGTATCAGTACAGTAGGCCTAATTCCTTATGTTGACCACCTCTGTATGTTGACCACTTTGTCACATTCCCTTGGGCAGTAAACTTACAGAGGTTCTACTGTATCATCTCAAGGTTCTCAATGACATTATGAGGGGAGGGGAAGACAATGCAAAAGAAAAAAGCCAATTTTGGTAAAAAAAAAAAAAAATTCAAGAAGTTGGTCATGGAAAATATAAGGGGGAAAACTTTGTTTCTCTGTTACTAAAAGGATACTGAAACAGAACGAGGATCAAGGCAAGAAATACTGAGTGAAATCAGACCTTCTGGCAAATAACCTCAAACCCATTTTCTGTTCTATCCCATTAAACAGCATATTTAAACATGAACTTTTGCTGACTCTGCCAAGAATTTTTTTCTTTTTCTTTTCTTTTTATTGAGCCAGAGTCTCACTTTATCACCCTGGGTCCTAGCAAACAGCAACTTCAAACTCTTAGACTCAAGCGATCCTCCTGCCTCAGACTCCCCAGTAGTTGGGACTACAGGTGCCCACCACAATACCTGGCTAGTTTTTCTATGTTTAGTAGAGACAGGGTCTCGCCCTTGCTCAAACTGGTCTAGAACTCCTGACCTCAAGCAAGCCATCTGCCTCAGACTCCCAGAGTGCTAGAATTATAGTGCGAGCCACCATGCCAAGGTGGCTCTGCCAAGAATCTTAAAGATGTGTAAGTTTCTGTAGCAGAGCTCACTGAAGCCTGGTGGAAGTTCCCAGGCTGGTTGTAATGAGTAAGAAGGGCAATGTTGTTTCTTGCAAGTTTGACAGTGTTGCCTGCAGTAAATCTTGATTCATATTCTACATCCTTGCTAGGATGTGAACAACAGGGGACTGGCCATGAACAGAATTGAGGATCACAGGCCTCAGGCATACAGCTCCTCTACCACCTCTCCTTAGGCTGGGTTCAGACAGGACCAACCCCATTGGCAATGAGGAGCTGACTTTGGGGCGGGAACTTTCGCTCTTCTTCTTTGGCTCCCATTTTCTATCATTTGTTTTAGAAATGTTTAGTACCTTGAATGTACCTGGAACATACTGGTAGCATTGCCACGTGTCCTTACTTGACATGAAAACTGTAACTTCGCTGAAAGAAAGTTTTCATGAAAGTCTTGGCAAGAAAGGGGACAGCCCACAGTCAAAGAGCTGTATTTGCGGAAAACAGCTTAGCAAATTGCTGCCTTTGTTGAAAACCTGGTGTATCTTCTAAAAGAAGATTCAAAGTTCACTGCGTGCCTGCTGCCCCCTTAGCTCAGATTACAGACCGTGAAGTAGGGTGGGGGAAGGGAGCAATTCGGACTCTCCGGGTAGGGAGAGAGAAGTGGCTGGTGCAGAGGTGAAAAGGAAAGGCAGTGGGCGGACTGAGAGGGGAGGGCAAGAGAGTAACAGCGGGGACGGGACAGGGCTGGAGGAGGAGTGTGGGCCAGAGGCAGAAAGAGGAGAATCAGTTATAAAAGGGTTGAGAGCCAGGGGTGGTAGTCCAGAGCTGGATTAGGGGCGAGGAGGGATACAAAGTGAGAGTTGGCGATAAGACAGGGCCGCACAGGTAGGGTGGAAACACGATGTTCGTCAAAAAAGGGGCTGGACTTAGAAGTAGGTCCTGCCCGAGGATGGCTCCGAGAGTGGACGGAAAGGATCCAATTCCTAACTTTGTGGTCCCTCGGCACTACCCTCACTTGCCTGCAGGATCCGGGTCCGCGCTACCGCCGCTGCCATGGCTCTCCGTCGCCACCGCTCCACTCCCCCACCTCTGCAGCCAGCGACTCGGTAGAAGATCTACAGCCGCCAGGCCTCGCCCTCCATCTTACTCGGCCTCCTCATTGGTGGCGAGCACCGTTTCCTTTAGCCAATCATCCGTCCGAGGATCTGACTCCACCCCCCCTCACTCTTAGCCTTGGGAATATATGACTGGCCAGGAGAAGAAGCGCTCTCCTCCCTTCCCCCTTCCGCCAATTCTGTTGGCTGGGGGAGGGAAGACACCCAAGACGTGGGTACTCCCTGTAGAGCACACGGAGAAGACGCCCCCTAACCTGGAACCCCGATTGGCCGCAGGCGTGTCCGAAGCTCCACCCTCCTTTCTGAGAAAAGTAAATAAAACCAAGAATTTTGCGGTTGCTCCGCCTCTACAACAGCACGAGAGACTAGGCTATTGTTAGGGGCGGGGCTAAGCAAAGTTTGCCCTCAGGGGCGTGGAAACGGAAAGAGCTGCGAGTTGGTGATAGGACTTCTCTCCAGGGGCGTGGCATATGGATCCTCGCTTTCCCGCCGACGGTTGGCCACGTCACGTGACGTGGGTTGGAAGATGGCGTCTCCCACGGATGGTAAGAACCGGCTTAGAGATCCTTTACCTACAGTCTCCTTCTTTGCTTCCCTGAAACTGTTCACACTCTCTCTCTGCTTTTCGAACTTACACTTCTTTCTTAGATTCATCTCTTTTCCCTTTCAATTATTTCCTTGAGATTCATCCCCGTTTTCAGTTCATCGGTTCTTCACAGCACCTCCGGAGGTGCCCAGTTTCCCTGCTTTGTACCAGGGGGGTGAACGAGGGCACCAAGGAGGGACTCATTAACCGCAAAAAGAAGGGGATCGTCTGGCTGTCCCTTGGGTGTCATTTGGGTGAGCTGAGTATCGAAGAGGAGCTACTGGTGGGAGAAAAGAGATGACTTAGAGTAGCTCTTTCCTTCCCGGGGTGCTCCAGTGAAGGCTTGATTATCTCTTCATTGAGCACCTGGATGGAACGATTATCTCAAACCCTGGCAGAGGCTGGTGGCTGACCTTATCTCGAGACTGAATTGTAAGAGAAACATGATTCTCTCCATTCTCCCCTGTTTAGAATCTTTGTCCGGGAGGCATGAGAGGTGGGAGACCTTCTTGGTCTCAAACCATGAGAGTCTCAAGGAAAAGGAGAAATGGACTTTTTAGTGTAGTCTAAGGTGCAAGTCATCTTAGGTAACATTTAGGTTGTTTGGTTTACCCACAAGCTTTTGTGCTCAGTCTGTCTTAGATAAAGTCTTTAAGTCTTTTTTGAACTCAATTTTTGCTTCTACTGCCCCCATACTTACAGTGATTTTGTTGATATAGTCTTCTTAGACACGTTTTGTGTTGGGAAGGAATCTTCTAAGTTCATTGTGGAGTGAGGCCAAAGAGAATATTAAGTACCTGATATATGAAAGGCATAATAATAGAGAATGCTTTTGGAGTCAGAAAGATAAACAAAAACATGTAAAGTTTTTTTCCCTCTCAGAAATGTCACCTCCCAAAGTGGCTTTCCCATAACACAATATCCATAGCTCCTCTCTGCCTTTATTCACCATCTCACTATCTTCATTGGCAGCATAGTTATTCTGTTAACTTTGTCCTTTTCACTCTAGTTAATAAATTTCAACTTGGTCTTTTTCATAGTTGGATGCCGAGTTAGCACAGTGCCTTCAAGGCAAGCAGTGGGCCTTCAATTAACATTTATTGAAAGAATGATTGCATATGTACAGGGATAATGTATTACTTGATCTTAAATTTTAGGTTTAACTGAGTCTTAAGATTTTTTGAGCACAGGTACGTGTAGTATAAGAAATTATAGGCCAGGCCCAGTGCCTCTCGCCTGTAATCCTAGCACTCTGGGAGGCCCAGAGAGGTGGATTCCCTGTACTGAGAAGTTGGAGACCAGCCTGAGCAAGAGTGAGGCCTGTCACTGCTGCAAATAGAAAAACTAGCTGGTCAGGGCAGCGCCTAGCTGGTCATTGTGGTGGGCACCTATTGTCCCAGCTACTGGAAGGGTGAGGTAAGGGGATCGCTTGAGCCCAAGAGTTTGAGGTTTCTGTGAGCCGCTACATGATGGCACTATAGCCAGGGCACAAAGTGAGACTCTGTCTCAATAAAAAAAAAAAATAGATCTTCAGAGTCAAGTTCTCATGCCTAGATGCTCTATTGTTAAAACATTCTCCTCTTGCCAGAAGGAAAGGGCATTTGAAGAGTCAGGAACCTGGCGCAGTGGCGCTCACCTGTAATCCTAACACTCTGGGAGCCAAGGCTGGAGGGTCACCTGAGCTGTTCAGAGTTCCAAACTGGCCTGAGCAAGAGGGAGACTTTGTAGAAAAATAGAAAAATTAACTTGGCCCAGTTATGTGCACCTGTAGTCTCAGCTACTCCAGAGACTGAGGCAGGAGAATCCTTGGAGCGGAGGAATCTGCAGTCTGAAGTGAGCTATGGTGACACCACTGCACTATAGCCGAGTATCATGCTAAAAATAAACAGTCAATCAAAGGAATGGTGAGTTATTGTTTAATGGGTTCAGAGTTTCAGTTTGGGAAGGTAAAAAACTTCCAGAAATGAATGTGGGTTAATGTACTTAATGCCACTGAACCTTTAAAAAAATCACTAACGGCTTGATGCCTGTGGCTCAAGTGGCTAAGGCGCCAGCCACATACACCTAAGGTGGCGGGTTCGAATCCCCAGCCTGGGCCTGCCAAACAACAATGATGG